AGAGCGTTTTAGCACAGATACTGAATCGAGCTCTTTCACTTCTTCCAATTCACACAAAATTATATGAAAATACCCTTCTTGGAGAGTTTTCTTGTAAACATAGTCGGTTATGTCTTAAATCTGGTATACAGCTGAGAAATAAAACGCATGTGTAACAGTATATTGGATCGTTCAGCTCTTAAAGTGACAGCTGACTAATATTCCTGCTGCCGTCTGTGTTTTAATGTTCAATCAAACAACAAAAGGCAAAACTTTGCTCACTACTCTTCACTGAATAACTTTTGTAACTTTAATAAGGATTCATGTATATTTCATTTATACAATGAAGAGTATATTTTACATTTGATTACTATATTTCTGTCCCTGAAAACTACTGTTAGAGCTCGCTGAAAAGCATTATTTCATGTGTGTCTGTGTTCTGTTGTATTTCTGCATTATGTTGACCTGTTGAATGGATCCAATCCATGTTCAGTAGAAATGATTTGATGCTGCAGCAATAAGCTAGCTAGTGTACCTTAATCCAGGAACATGATCAAAACAACAATCTATTTTATTGTCAAAAGTTAAAATAAGAGAGCAAGTGAAAAATATCGCTATCAGAATTGGCCAATAGTTGTTTGTTAAAATCGGCGTCAGCCAAAAAAGAAAAGAAAAACGTATCGGTGCATCCTTAATTTTTACTGTTAAATACTGTCAAATGTATAATTATGAGGTACAAACTTTGAATGTCCTTATAAGTTACAGTGAAAAACCGTTTCAGTGAAGTCCCTGCTTTACACATCACATCACATATAATTATATATTTTTTAATCTGGGGTCCTTCGGACCAAATGGTGCCGAAGCGTTTAAATAAAAAAAATGTAAAAAATCATAGCTTTATCGGAATGGTCTGAAATTTGGTGACTTTGTTGGTACTTGGTATATGAACACCCAAAAAAATTGGCGACAGGATTTTAAAAGTCTAAGTGGTTGTAAAAAAAATAGTCACACTCAGGACCTTCGGGACCAAATGGTCCCCCATAGGAAATGAATGGGAAATTGGCAAAAATGTGACAATACAGAGTTTTTTGGGCGTACAATCTACAAATCAGCCACGATCCAGAAAAAAAGTACACATATAATTTTTGCAGTGAAGGGGTGATTCTATAAAACATCAAGAGTGCAAAACAGACACATCCACACACACACACGCACGCACGCACGCACGCACGCACACACACACACACACTTTTAAACACATACACACTAATACATTCAGATTACATATATCTGTTTTGAATTTTTAAAATGCTCAGTGTGTCCACCAGATGGCATCCATCTCATTTCAAAAATAGCTTTCATGAGGCCTAGGCTTGACTCTAAAATGAAATACAGCTTTAAAAAAAAAAAAAAAAAAAAAAAAAAATTATATATATATATATATATATATATATATATATATAAATTCTATTATATTCAATAGGAAAAAAAATGGGTCATAATCATTGCATAAATATTATTTATAAATCATAAAATTATCTCAAAACACCAAAAAAGAAAAGAAAAATTATTATAAAAAACAAGTAAAAAAAAAAGAAAAAAAAAGATGATGATTTTTTTTATATTAATCCCCTCTCCCGGACCATTTGGTCCCGAAGGTCCTGAGTGTGACTGCTAAATGAAGGACCCCAGAGGGTTAAATTGGGTAGTTTCTTCTTATTTTTGTAATCAGTAATGTACATAACGGTGTTTTGTGTTACATTTTAGTTAATGTTTATTGCATCATTTTAGTGTAGTGTGTTACCCTGACACGTATAAGAGCATTCACCATGTGTTATGGACAGGCTTCTTATGATGAACTATGATGATGAGTTATTATGTGGCGTTATATTTAACCAGTACATTTACATGTTATTAGTACATTAACGCACAAAGCTAGTTCAAGTTAACTGGTACATGGCACTTGTAATAATGAAATATACAGTTAGAAGTTGTAAAATATGCAGATACCAGTAAACATGGAATACCTGAAACGGTGTGTATTGCGCTGTGAGTTTCTGTTTTCACTCTTAAAACGACGCGTCTCTTCCAGTCCTGCTGATGAATCTGAGCTCAATGCTGCATCTGATGGCAGAACACAACCCAGTATCCCCAGTGCTGTCGCTGCAACCCTTTCAGTGCGTTTCTGTTGTGTTTGGGAGTTTTCTCAGACCACACCGCGATGCTGTAAGCGAAAAACCCTCTCGGTAGATGTTCAAGTGTATAAATAACACAGTAAATCCCTACAAAGACCCTCAGACGCCCATCAAAGCCCAGACATCAATGAGTCGAGTATCTGTGGAGTGGCTTAGACTTCGCTGTTTGCATCACTGTGGTCTGAAAGTTTTTGTTGTTAAATCACTATCTGACTGGGACAGCTGTGGGGTTTGATATGACCTCACACTGATGAGTGTGTGGCATTTGCCGTGTTCGCCTCTGATGAAATCTTTATTTTTCTATTGCCGGAGGATATAATCCCAGAAATACCAATACAGCTGCGCCCATGCGAGAACGCTTTGATAAGAAATCTCATTTGGCGATACTTTGTCGAGTCATTGGAAGTGTAAATCTGATGTCCATGTGAAGGCAGGCTCATCAAGAACTCGTAGACATTACGCTTGGTCGAATCTGTCCATTTTGCCATCATTTGACATTTGGCTAGCGTCCACTTTGGAAAAACGTTTCCTGTTGCCTATGATTTACTAATAAAGACACTTTATCAAGGTCTGTAGATAACATGTGAAACTCTCCTCCACTTGTACAGGTGAAAGGACACTTTCACTCCCTGGGGAATGTATAGAGATGGTCTTATTGGAAACGTTTCATCAGGGCACATTATTATGTTATTATTCGTAATGTTTCATGAAAACGTAATAACTCGCGCCACCTCTGAAACGACTCTTATTTCCATCTAACGTCTCCTAGACTGTGCTGGCTATTTCCTGAATACCTTGAGTTCTGTGTTAAATCACAGTGACTGCTGCGATCAGATCCGTGTCATTAACTACACTGCAGCCCCACCGTGACATGCGTTGATTTCTGCATAAATTAGTCATCTCTTTTCTTTTTTTTTTTTTTGAGTCACAACAATAGACTAAGATCATATGCTCCAACAACGTACAAGCGTTGCTTTTACATCCTTATTGAACACACCCTTGTACACATTCACAATGAATATTGGGGAAAAAGACACTAACATTCACTACAAGTTTCACTACAAATACACTAACAAGTTTCAGGTTTTCAAAAGTTTCATTTTTTTTTTTACATTTTTGGAAAGTCAACGTCACCGAGGCTGCATTTATTTGATCAAAAATACAGTAAAAACTGTATATTATGAAATATTATTACAAATTATACACTATATTCTATGTGAATTATTGTAAAATGTAATTTATTCTTGTGATCAAAGCTGTATTTTCAGCATCATTACTCCAGTCTTCAGTAACTTTTAGTATGCTTTATTAATTAAAAAAATCCTCAAACGTTTGAACGGTAGTGTTTGTGTCCTTACTGGCTATCTCAAATGTTGCACCTTGGGTTATTATAGTTAACTAAAATTAAAACCATAAAAAAATTCTACCATAAAATAAACTTGAACTGAAATAAAACAATAAATAAAACCAATTTTAGTTCAGCTAGAAGTCAAACACACGCTGTGAATCAGTCTAACAACGAGCAGCAGATTTCATAAAATGTTGTTCATCAAATCCTTTAATAACTCATAATATTTTTAACATGTTGGCTGACAAGCCTGTAAATTTGCACTCTGGCAAATGAAAGTTGAATCTCACTTTAGGAATAAAGATGGGGTCAGTTTCGAGGTTCAATTGAGAAAAACCCTAGAGCAAAAAAAAAATCTGTCTATGTACTAGTCAAGTCAAGTCACCGCAGATCTAGAAGAAAATAGTCTCATAAGGGCTGTTTACACCTGGCCACTTCATGCGTTTTCTGTGATCGGATAGCTATCGGATCGTGAAAAGACCAGGTGTAAATGCCCTCCGAAACGCATTCGAGACAGGTTTATATCCGATCGCTCAAACCACATCAGGAGGAGGTCTGAGGCCGCATTCGAAACTGGACGAGTGTAAATGCATCTGGTTGTTGAAACCACATATGCAAATTTTACGAATCATTATGTATTTTCCAATAGCCTACATGTAACTTTATAACGTTGCATAAATAGCTAGTAAGATAACGTTAATATAACGGTAACTAACGTAGTATGTAAGTAATTATTCTAGCGATATATATATATATAAGCTATATAACTTTTTTGGAATTTACTTATTATTATTTTTTTTACTTCAGCAATAATCTGCCAAGAGCCTTCTTTAAAATGATACCAAACTTAAGTCTGTGCTCCCAAGCTTCACATTTTTATGACAGTTCATTTTTGTCCTCTGTGTACCTATGTGTAACTTTTTTTATTGATGCACATATCAGTCAGTACCAATATACTGTGATGCCCCTACTATGTTCATGTGCATTAGATGGATGGCTTTGGCCTTTGCATCTCACTGTTTTCCAGCACTATGTTGGATCATTACCCTGTCACAAAAATGGCATACTCCAAACAAAAGGCCAGCTCTATGAAAGAAGCGCTCGTAAAGCCCGTCTCTCGCCACATCCCTCTGATGACTGTAATTATCTTAATAAGTTCACAGCTATTTTCAAGCTGCGGCTGGCTTGAGCAGTTCAGCTCTCAGTGCTGCATGTTTAATATGTGTATCAATGAAGTGGAGAGCAGTCCTCTCTAAATGAAGGGCTTTTTTTTGTCATCAATTACCACTGCATCTTTCCAAAGGCCAGTGTCTGGATCCGCCCATGCACACAGACTGCATAAATAACCAAAAAGGATGACATTGACTCCAGTGGAGGATGAAAATCGTTCATGTGCCCAGAAATGATTGGTTTGGCAGGTGGGTGGTCTGTGTGATTCAGTTTGGTTTAAGTCACTTGTTGTGTTATGTCTCCCGCAGGCGTTCACTGCACACACGGCTTCAACCGCACGGGCTTCTTAATATGTGCCTACCTGGTGGAGAAAATGGACTGGAGGTTAGAAAAGCACACACGAGCACTCATGTAGACTGGCCACTTGATGAACCATGTGACCAGCCTCAGTTGCTGGAGCATTCAAGCCAAGCTAACCTAAACATGCCTCTTTTTGCACACACACACTAATTACCTAAAATATCACTCATTACAAAACAAATTAAAGTAAATAAATACCCTCATCAGTGAATTATTTGACAGACTAATTCAAACCGTAACTAAAAGAACAGATTCATAAGGATCATTAGTTTGTGCATCAGACTTCATGCTGTGTGTTTTTCTGTGCAGCCCACGAGGACTTCATGATAGAAAGACATTTTCTTGCCACTATTTTTTTCTCTCATCACATTTAATACAGACTGCAAACTTACAAATCACAAAAATATAATTTACGCGTGTCTATGCAATGAAATGTACGGGTAGACCTGCCACAGCCTGAAGAGTTCCCACATGTGTCTGGTGCTAGATGCTAATTTCAACCATTTAAAGTTTAAAAATAAATACCTTTTATACAGCAAGCTCACTTTAAATGATCGAAAGTGTCTGACATTTTTAATGTTACAAATTATTTCTATTAAAGGTACAATATGTAGGAATTTTGTAATAAAATATCCAAAAATCACTTGCGCAGTGTGATATATTTCCTGCAGTTGTGTTCTTACAATATCCCAAAAGTCTCCAAAGATTTTTTATTTCAGAGAAATTCCAATTTTAAATAAGTGGCCGTCCCGGAAAAAAAAAGTCGCCTGTCAATGACGCAATATCCGCGCTATCCTCGGTTTCCGCTCGTACTGCCATAGCCATGACGTAACCATGGCGACAGACGTGGACAACTGCGTACGTTTAGCGGCACACAGTTCTTGTTTCTTTCAAACACAGACCATGGCAAGCAGACTTTGGGACAAACAAGGAGAACTAAAATGAGGATCAATATCAGCGTGGCGTTTTTGAGATGCCGAGAGCTAGCGTCCGCGGCTAACTTGGACTCGACAGAGCTTCACGAGTCACGACTCGACAGCTTTATTAGACAGGTGAGCAAATGTACATAAAACAAATCAATGTTATATAGCGGTAGCTCAACATGATGAAATGTTAGAATAGAAATTTTTTTTGCTCTGTTTTTCTGAATTAATGACTTGATTATCTCAAAAATTCAGAAAAACAGAGCAAAAACTTTTTTTCCATGAAAAATTATCTTGTAATTCTGAGATAATTAACTCGTTAATTCAGAAAAACAGAGCAAAAACTTTTTTCCATGAAAAATTATCTTGTAATTCTGAGATAATTAACTCGTTAATTCAGAAAAACAGAGCAAAAACTTTTTTTCCATGAAAAATTATCTTGTAAGTCTGAGATAATTAACTCGTTAATTCAGAAAAACAGAGCAAAAACTTTTTTTCCATGAAAAATTATCTCGTAATTCTGAGATAATTAACTCGTTAATTCAGAAAAACAGAGCAAAAGCTTTTTTTCCATGAAAAATTATCTCGTAATTCTGAGATAATTAACTCGTTAATTCAGAAAAACAGAGCAAAAACTTTTTTTCCATGAAAAATGATCTTGTAATTCTGAGATAATTAACTCGTTAATTCAGAAAAACAGAGCAAAATTTTTTTTCATGAAAAATTATCTTGTAATTCTGACATAATTAACTCGTTAATTCAGAAAAACAGAGCAAAAACTTTTTTTCCATGAAAAATTATCTCGTAATTCTGAGATAATTAACTCGTTAATTCAGGAAAACAGAGCAAAAACTTTTTTTCCATGAAAAATTATCTCGTAATTCTGAGATAATTAACTCGTTAATTCAGAAAAACAGAGCAAAAACTTTTTTTCCATGAAAAATTATCTCAGAATTCTGAGATAATTAACTCGTTAATTCAGAAAAACAGAGCAAAAGCTTTTTTTCCATGAAAAATTATCTCGTAATTCTGAGATAATTAACTCGTTAATTCAGAAAAACAGAGCAAAAACTTTTTTCCATGAAAAATTATCTTGTAATTCTGAGATAATTAACTCGTTAATTCAGAAAAACAGAGCAAAAACTTTTTTTCCATGAAAAATTATCTCGTAATTCTGAGATAATTAACTCGTTAATTCAGAAAAACAGAGCAAAAGCTTTTTTTCCATGAAAAATTATCTCGTAATTCTGAGATAATTAACTCGTTAATTCAGAAAAACAGAGCAAAAGCTTTTTTTCCATGAAAAATTATCTCGTAATTCTGAGATAATTGACTCGTTAATTCAGAAAAACAGAGCAAAAACTTTTTTTCCATGAAAAATGATCTTGTAATTCTGAGATAATTAACTCGTTAATTCAGAAAAACAGAGCAAAAACTTTTTTTCCATGAAAAATTATCTTGTAATTCTGACATAATTAACTCGTTAATTCAGAAAAACAGAGCAAAAACTTTTTTTCCATGAAAAATTATCTCGTAATTCTGAGATAATTAACTCGTTAATTCAGAAAAACAGAGCAAAAACTTTTTTTCCATGAAAAATTATCTCGTAATTCTGAGATAATTAACTCGTTAATTCAGAAAAACAGAGCAAAAACTTTTTTTCCATGAAAAATTATCTTGTAAGTCTGAGATAATTAACTCGTTAATTCAGAAAAACAGAGTAGATTTTTTTTATTCAAGTGAATGCAATACGCTTCCGTAAGAAAGGGCCGTGTTGTCTCGAGGAAAGAATTGAATTGTTCGAAATGGATTTGTTTTCCCCCAGTAAGTGAAGACATATACAGCAGTTCATCTGTCATTCGTTAGTGTTTAGCTCATCTCATAATAACTGATGCATTAATATGCATTAATAATGTTTATTCACTTTGATCTGTATTATTAGTGGGGGTTGTGCACTAACTTCAGCAGAGATGAGATGTCTAAAATCCTACTGGGATTTGAACACCGTTCAGGGGTACTTGTGCTCACCAAGGCATTTATTTGAAGTAATATACAGAAGTAATATTGTGAAAATACAATTCAAAATAATAATTGTCTGACGGGAATATATTACAAATATATTACAATATAGTAAAGCTGATTTCTCAGCATCATAACTCCAGTCTTCAGTGTCACATGACCCTTCAGAAATCACTCTGATATGATGATTCGATGCTCAAGAAGCAAATATGATTATTATTAATGTAAAAAAAAGGTTGTGCTGCTTCATATTTTTGTGGAAACACTTTTTCAGGATTCTTTGATGAATAGAAAGTTTAAAAAACAGCATTTATTTGACATGGAAATCTTTTGTAACATTATAAATTATTTTACTGACACCTTTGATCAATTTAAAGTTTTTTTTGCGGAATAAAAGTATTAAATCTTACTGACCCCAAACTTTTGAATGATCGTGTGAAGTAATTTTTGTTATATATATATATATATTTATAAATTATTCGTGATATAAAGAAATATTTAGTTTTAAATATAAAATACGAGAAAGTAGTTAGTTAATAAATAGAAACGTTTTAAAATAAAAATTATTTGACAGTCACAGTCAGAAGTCACTATTTATTTATTTATTTAATTTTAAACTTTTTTTAATTGATTTATATTTAAATTTTATTTATGTAACATAAAATTGCTCGGACATGGTTAGCAACTTAAATTTTCTAGAGCTACAAAAATGCCAGGAAAAAAGATCAATTAATTTTGAGATCTGAACAAGTGGCTTTTTTAAAAACTGATTGGTAGATGGAAATGTAAAGTAAAAGATTTATTTTTTAATGCAGCGTGAAAGTCGCTTTTAAACATGATTTGCCGTTTTGTTTGATTGATAAATTAATTAACATCATGAATTAAATGAGCATCTTTTTGTGAATTAGATTATTTTATACAATTGTTCTTTAATAATTAATGTATTAATAATCGGAGTAATTAATCTTGCAGTATATGAATTAGGGATGCACGATATATCGGACACCACATCGGTATCGGCCGATATATGATAATTTTTAATGTTATCTTTTTAGGCCCGATAAGAAAACTTGGCCGATATATTATAACTGATAAATAATGTAATATTTAATTAGTTCAACATGAGGGTTTTGAATTGATGGAAATATGATTGGAATCACTTCAAAAAAAGGAAAATACAGTCAAGTGCAACATGTGCAGCGCCAGTCTGTCATATCGGCTACATGCATTTATAATGAGAACATTATAAGTGTGTGTTTGGGACGCGGCTTTAATTGTGTAATCAGGCTCTCAAAAAATGATATACAAAGTTGGATTAAGGTTTATCAGCCAATATATCGGTTATCGAATATAACGAATTATCGGTTATCGGTATCAGCCAAAATTTTCCGGTAACGCTTCCTTTTACAGTCCTGTTACCCATGTACTTACTATGTACTTATTATAGTAATTATAATTACTGGGTAATAACTAGGTACTACCCCTAAACCATGTACTTACCTTAGCCAGTTACTTTAGCCAGTACTTTCTAGGTAAGTACACTGTAAGTACACGTAAGTACTGTACTGTAAAAGGAAGCGTTACCAATTTTCCGAGTGCAGTGTATCCTGAAGGATGTGTGTGTGTGTGTGTGTGTGCTCTCGTCAGTGTGGAGGCGGCTGTGGCAGCGTTCGCTCAGGCTCGCTCCCCGGGCATCTATAAAGGAGACTACCTGAAGGAGCTCTTCCGGCGCTACGGGGATGTGGAGGACGCCCCGGCCGCCCCCGCTCTGCCCGAGTGGTGCTTCGATGACGAGGAGGATGGAGACGGGGATGACGACGGGAATGCCAGCGCTCAGGGGTCCGAGCCCAGCTCGTCTCACTCCAGTCAGGGCAAGAAGAAGAAGGAACGGCTAAAAGTGGTGCGGAAAACTCACTTCAGCTCATGCTTTCACAGGGGAATATCCCCGGGCCGGTACAGCACGGCTCATCTGGGATATTAGTGATAAGTGTGCACATGTGACTGTTGTCTGTGTGTGTGTGTGTGTTTCAGGGCGCTGTGTTTCTGGAGGGGGTGTCAGTCAAAGGAGTCTCTCAAGTCACGTCACAGCCCAAGCTCGGCACCATCCAGCGCAAATGTCAGGAGTTCTCCGAGTGGGACAAGTGAGTGTGTGTGTGTGTGTGTGTGTGTGTGTGTGTGTGTGTGTGTGTGTGTGTGTGTGTGTGTGTGTTTTACGCCCCGCAGACGCTCACTAGCTCTGAGTCCGTGTCACTGACATGTCAAGTAATCCAAAGTGTCAGACGGTGAGGACTGGGAATGTGCGGGGCGTGAACTGGGTCAAAAATAATGCTTTACAATAAGGTTCATTAGTTAACATGAACAACACTTCTATAGCATTTATTAATCTTAGTTAATATAAATATTAATTTCAACATTTACTAATACATTATTAAAATCAAAGGTTGTATTTGTTAACATTAGTTAATGGACTGTGAACTAACATGAACAAGCTATGAACAGCTGGATTTGTATTAACTAACATTAACAAAGATTAATAAATACTGTAACAAATGTATTTGCTCATGGTTAGCTCATGTTAGTTAATACATTAACTAATGTTAACTAATGAATCTAATTGTAAAGTGTTACTAAAATAAGAACTTAACCTCTAAAAAAAAAGGCTCAATGAAATAAAGTGCTTATCCTGCAGGAAATGTGGGAAACCTCAGGAGTCGTGTTTGACTTTTACTTCATATGAGGTTGGAAATTAAGATTTTCTAGTAATAAACATATAATATAAATAACATTCATAAAATGTAACGAATTAATAGAGAAAGAAAAAAGAATATAATAAATTAAAGCTACACTGTGTAACTTTTTTAGTTTATTCTTAGCTAAAAACACTTAGTTCTTTCAAAAATATATGTGCTCATTAATGTATATTTACTTCGTTCAAGTAATAAAGTATTCTCGTGAGTGTATAATATGCCATTGAAAATACATACGGGTGAGGGGTTCTAATGTCGGTCGCCATGTTGCCCCTCCATCTTGAAAGTACATTAGCCAAAGAGGGACATACCCGTTAATTCAAGCTTCGCCTTCCGCGTTTTAACACTCGATGGCACCGTGTCGAATGTCAAGAGGGGGATTGCTTGAGACTGATATATAAAAACCTGAAAGCCTTTTTGAAAGTATAATATAGCCTACAATATAAACTTTGCCTTACACTAGTGATGTCGTACAACATACAGAATAACGATAGCACTGATAAAAGTTACTTTACTAAGATTATCTTGCATTCGTCTGGGAACCTGATAACTGATGTTAGCAATAAAATGGTAAAAAAAATAACGAAAACATAAAACTATTATTCATTTTACATAGATGTCATAACCTATATGTTACCTGACAAATTAAATTACTGCAAATTATAATAGTTTTCTAAAGTAACGTCATCACTTGAAGGAACACTCATGGACGAGGTCGAACTGGAAGCCATGTTAATCTTGGACTACATTGGCCACCGTAGGAGTTAAACGAAATCGGAATTGAGAGGAACAGAAACTAATATTCACTGGATGGTCATATACCTTTTCACCGCTAGATGGGGGTAAAAATCACACAGTGTAGCTTTAAGTAATTAAAATATAATAAAAATACACCAGAATGGGTAACATGGTTGCATATTTTTGTCAAAAGTAAGATATGACTATGTTATTGTCAAAATGATTAGTTTCTGATGAAAATTTCCCATAAATGAGAAAATATTTGATTATATACAATTACTTTGGTAACGAATGAAGTCATCGTCACAGATATACGTTGATCAAATGTCTGATTAGTGTAAATGTTAAAATGTTTTTATGCTATATTCATTTGATGTTGGAAAGTATTTAAAATTGCGATGAAACAAAAGTTCTTCTATTCTGTATTATGGCACATTTGAGTAAAACACACGTATAGGGCGGGGACTTTATTGCCTATATTATCTGTGGTTGTAAGAAAGGTTCGAGCTGACTAATAGAGGGAATGCTCTGACGTCACTGTCCCGCGGGAACACACTCCCTCAGCGGGACTGAGTGGCAGAAGAGCGGCTGCGGGACTGCAGTTAATACTGTGGAAACTGGGAAAACACCAGTTAAACAAACCATTATCAGTTTAAACTAAAGGCTGGACTCGATATAGTGTTCCTTACAGCTTACCTAGTATCCAGTGATCGTGGATGTTGACACGCAGCAGGAATCATGTTTCCTGACATTTATATGAGCCTGATTTAGATGCTGGGGAAATACATACAGCATATCCGCCTGTGAACGCTTTATATAAATAGAATATCGGTCTAAACCCGGGCGATCACTTATATCAATGTTATACTGTATATATCATCATATCGCCCGTCCAGCCCTAAAACTTGTATAGTTTTTGTCAGTGTTTATTTAAAAACATCCAATTATGCAGAATATATACGATGGTAAATACAATATATAGGGTATGATTTTACCCCTAAATAATAGCAAATCCACCTTTCTCTGCCTGGAGAGGAACATCCATTTGCTTCTGTTGCTTTCGGCAGTGTGTAAAAAAATACCTCCGATTTCTTGTCCAATCTAGTTGTACAGTCATTCCCGTTTGAGATGCGTTTAGTGTGTTTTTCGCGGCATTCACGCTGAAAACAAAGCCTTCCTGCCACTCAGTGTGTGTGTGTAACCGCAGTCCGTCCAGCCGGCGGTGACGTCACACGCATAACCCACTACAGGGAGAAGTCTGACATGTATGTTAATATCAGTATTCGTTCAAAAATTACAAGGTCAATATTAAGTGAAATATGCATGGGTGAATTGTAAATCAATAGAAAATAGATAGGGTGAATTTTAATTTCCTGCCAACTCGAACATAGTCCAAAGCACATGACATTTGTGCCTTTAAGCGCATAATAATTAATTGGAAACATATTTGTAGCCTATTAATGGAACGTGTCTCCGCTGAGTTCTGCCGTGTGTGTTTATCCTGATAAAGCGGCAGCCGGGATTACTGTCATTGATGAGTGGAGATCAATTAAAACCACCCATTATCAAAACAGTGTTTTTAATTTGTGCTCGTCTGTCAGGTCCGGGTTTCCTGGTGCTCAGCCCGTGTCCATGGACCGCAGGAACATCCGTCTGTTGGAGAAGAACGCTTATAAAGTCAGCTGGAAAGCGGACGGCACACGGTGAGTCCGGCGACTGAAGTGGTGTGTCGTTCTAAACACACGCTATGCTAACACGTCAACACACACACTCTCAGCCGCATGCTGCTGCGCTCCACAACCTCAAGACTTCAGTAGAACAACAAGCAATGAGAACTGAAATTAAACATGTATTGTACATGTTTTCAAGTTTTTTTTATAGCCGTATTACACTTTTGTAGCAATTTATCTCTTGAAATCCTAAAGTATTTTCATGAAGTTACTCGTAATTGCGTTTACTATTTTGCTGATTTTCTTTTCTTTTTTACACTTCTCCATCTTCTCTCTGACCCTTACAATTAAACATACTTTTTTTGTTTATAGTTAATTAATCGTGTATTTTGTTTTTCAGTTTTGATTGAATTAGTTTGAATGATGCCTTACTGATTTTACAACTGTTGGATTAAAATATGAATGCGACTGTTCAAAAGTTTGAGGTCAGTAAGATTAAAAAAAAGATACTTTTATTCATCGAGGACGCATTACATTCAAAAGTGACATTTAAAATGTTACAAAAGATTTCTATTTCAAATAAATGCTGACCTTTTGAACTTTCCTTTCATTAATAATCCTGAAAAAATCAACACTGATAATAATCATAAATGTTTCTTGAGCATCATCAGATCATCATATTGGAGTGATTTCTGAAGGATCATGTGACACTGAAGACTGGAGTAATGATGCTGAAAATACAGCTTTGACCACAGGAATAAATTACACTTTAAAATGTATTTGAACAGAAAACAGTTATTTTAAATTGTAATAATATTTCACAATTTTTGAACGCCTATGTGAGCATAGGAGGAGGCCATGGAAGTAAAATAATGCCCAAATGTTTTTTAAAGTTTCCATTCCATAAGAGGCTTCTTTCAAAAACATGAAAGCATTTTGTACTAACCCCAAACTTTTGAAGTTTATCATAATTAATATTAATACTCCCCCTGTCTAATGCATGAGTAGCCAGAAGTCAGGCCTAGAGGAGATTAGATACATCAGGCCATACAGCATTGGCTGAGTTTTTTTTTTTTTTTTTTTTAGATCTAGTTAGCGATAATAACATTGATGCCTACATACTAGTACATTGAATGTTTTTGTATCGTTCTTTCGATGTTGTAGCACCCCTTCAAATGATCTTATACTTACCGTCTCAGTATAATTGTGTGGTGCGGTTTCTATAATGTTGGCGCAGGGCCGTTTAATGATGCTACAGGTCAGTGTAAGGCAGCTCGGCTTGAGCTCGTCTGCTGTAATGATGTGAGCCTCTCTCTCCACTCCCGCTGGCTCATGCGCTCAAACGTCTGCGGGAACATCATTAAACACTCATCCATAGGACGGATCTGCTCAGATGCGCCGCGGTTGGCACCTCGCAGGATGTTTTATGCCATGGCAGCAGCGGATGAGCTGGTTTGGTGTCATAGTGCTCCAAAATTAGCTGAAAGTTGAGCAGAACATCCGTGGCTCTTTGATGGAAAAACACTTGGCTCCGTCACCGAGACTTTCAAAAGGCGCAGCTGATCTCTTTAACTGGAGATCCGTTCTAACAAGCCCATTATCCTGTGCTTTGGCCACTGATGCGTTTGCTCTGGGGACGTCCAGCAAAGCCCTCTGTAATAATGCCCAAACGGGAGGATATTAAAGCTCAAGGCAAAGACAGGGATTGATTTTTTTAAGAAGGGCCGCACGATTGTTTTTTTGATACCAGTGCTAATATATCCAAAACCATGTTTGTTTTCTACCACTTTTCACTTTGGCATGCACTGTAAAAAATAGCTCTGTAAAATACTGGCAGTAGAGTCGCCAGCAATATACTGTAATTCTACGGTATGAAAACTGTGAAATTGCTTTACAGCTAATTATCGTTAAAACGAAAAACAGTACTTTTTCAGTATTTTTTTAATTTAGGCTACAGTAAAATACTGGCAGCAGAGATGACAGCAATATACTGTAATTCTACTGTATGAATACTGTGAAATTGCTTTACAGCTTATTACCGTAAAAAAAGAAATCGAGTACTTTCCAGTATTTTTTTATTTGACAGTAATACAGCAATATACTGTAATTTTACGGTATGAATACTGTGAAATTGCTTTACAGCTTATTACGTAAAAAAAGAAATCGAGTAATTTCCAGTATTTTTTAATTTGACAGTAATACAGCAATATACTGTAATTTTACGGTATGAATACTGTGAAATTGCTTTACAGCTAATTATCGTTAAAACTAAAAACAGTACTTTTTCAGTATTTTTTTTAATTTACAGTAAAATACTGGCAGCAGAGATGACAGCAATATACTGTAATTCTACTGTATAAATACTGTGAAATTGCTTTACAGCTTATTACCGTAAAAAAGAAATACAGTACTTTCCAGTATTTTTTTATTTGACAGTAATACAGCAATATACTGTAATTTTACGGTATGAATACTGTGAAATTGCTTTAAAGCTTATTACCATAAAAACGAAATACAGTACTTTCCAGTATTTTTATTTTATTTTACAGTAGAATACTGACAGCAGAGATGACAGCAATATACTGTAATTCTACTGTATAAATACTGTGAAATTGCTTTACAGCTTATTACCGTAAAAAAGAAATACAGTACTTTCCAGTATTTTTTTATTTGACAGTAATACAGCAATATACTGTAATTTTACGGTATGAATGCTGTGAAATTGCTTTACAGCTTATTGCCGTTAAAACGAAAACATGCAACACATTTCTGTGATTATTTAAATTTACAATACACTCTAAAAAACGGTGAGGTAAAAAACAACCCAAATTGAGTCATTTTAGCAACACAACTCTAGGTCAAACAGGGAACCACAAAATAGGTTGGAAACTAAAATCACACAGGAAAATTCTACAGTAAAAAGTCAACAGTAGTAGGCTAACAAAAAGGTGAACATTTGTTTATAGGCAAGAATACCCAAAATGGACAAAAGTATAATAAAATCAGCATGAACATTTGTAAGAAAACATGCAGATAAGAATACGAACTCAAACTCTGTTGTATAGCTTATACAGTTAAACAAAATTGCGTTTTAAAAGTTTAATAATCAACAATGTTTAAGAACAGATTTGACCAGTTATTTCGTTTATTTTTTTGTCTCGCCAACGAGCACTTGACGGCCAAAACCATCAGGAATACACAGTGTGAAAGCCTTAATAAACACTGACATTTGTGAATAAATTATGTGAATCAATAGGATTTTACCCTCTCCGTTTAATGCGTTTATAATCACTCACTTCACTCTCAAATGCTCTTCCGGCTCGCTCAGTTCCTCATCAGTCACCGTTCGAGTCATTTGGATGTGAGAGAAAACACTCCGACTGCAGCCAGTTTCAAATAAATAAATACATTTCCCACGTATATTCCTCCCATGAGCATCGCGAACACAGATAGCAAGACTTACTCGTACTCAAGCTCCAGTGAAAGTGCAGCGCCATTATGCTTGCTTCAAAATGCACCAGCCCACAATGCATTGGGTACTAGAGTATAAATCCATAATACATAAATCCAGTAGATCAGTGTTGAAAATGGACTGTAAATTAACAGCAGTTGCTAACCGCGAAAAATATTGTCCAGAATGCATTGTTTTCTACAGCACATTACTGGTTTAATGGAAAACAGTGTTACTGTCAGAATTTGCCCTTTTTTTTTTTTTTTTTTACTGTGCAGTTGTTTGCAGTGTGTGTGCAGACATTGTAAGCATTTGAGAGAAGACAAAGTCTAAAGTGTTCCCATTCAGTCGGTACGATACGTGACTGGGAAATTGCACTCTGGCATAATTCCCTGAAGACACCTTTAGTGACATCTAAAAGGCCAATAGCGCATAATGACATGGACAGGCGCGCTGAATATAAATGTGATGGCATGTGATCTTTAGCACTGCACTCTGAGAACACATCCCGGCACATTCGCCAGACGAGCACTGCTTAGCGGCTCGTGCCAGTCAGCTGTTGCTGACACAAGTCAAAAAGAAGACGTCTCTTAGCTTTGTTTGGCTGATTTAATTACTTCTTTAATGAAAGGGTTTCTACCCTTATCTGATATCCAGCTTTTTGAAACGTGAAAAGCGTACTCGTGAGCACAGTCCAGTGTGTCTGGGAACTGTCCACACCAGAATGGCTCTTTTGACTTTCCATTATTGTCGACAGCTCTGTTGGCCCTGATGTACTAATGGCGCAGTTTGTTTTCGTTCTTCACTTAGGGGTCAAAAGTAGTTAAAGGGATATTTCAACCAAAAATAAAAATTCTATCGTTTACGCAATATTCACTTGCACAATCGGGCCAGCGGTGCATCGTGACTGAAGTCTTTTTAAGTCTTACCAGTTTAAACATTCAAGCGATTTTAAACTAATCAGTGCTCGCGCGCTCTCTGAGAGATTATTTTCTATGCGCACATTCATAGAAAATCCGCCTCAAAAACAGCTGGCCAGTAACAAAAGTTATTTTTCATGGATTATATTGCTTTAACACGCAAAATTGTCAATTTCGGTCTTTGTGAGTAGGCTATACTCTAAACATAGGCGGTTTTGTCTTTAATAGGCCTAAGCATAAAATGCATGCAAGTATAATGAACGCAGGATCCGTGCACTAGCTCTTAAAGTGACGGCAGCCATATGTGTATGTCATTTAATTTTGTTGTCAAAACAACAAAAGATGGCTTTAAGTTAAAGGAATCAGGATTAATAGCCTATGTATTTAATTTATTCAGGACTAAAATACTAGCCTACCCAGTGTTATTTTCCATTTTATTACTTTATTCAGTTTCTGTATATGAATACTAGTGTTAGACCCATTGAAAAACTTTTCTCTTTAATTGTCTTTATTTGTATCTTTATTCTATTGTATTTATTTGTGCTACTTTTTTCAATTTAATCAAACAATTTAAATCAAGCTTCCTTGTGATGTGTAAATTCTTAACAACAATATTACCCCATTGTAAAAATGCAATGAGCGCAAACATTTAGGCAAGATAAATGTAATAATTTTGTTTGGAAAAAATGCCCCCCCTTTCTCCCCCTCAAACAAAAAAAATCCCCCCCATGAGAATCATCTAAGGAGGGATTTCCCCCCCATTTCCCAAAACGAAATTCAGGCCCTGCTTTATCATCTATGCTGGAGACATGTCTGAAAGGAACACCCCTGCAGTGATTGCTCAATTTCACTCAACTAAACCTCACCTGACTCTTTTTTTTCTTTGTTCAATTATACCTAATATGAAAAGTGTTTATCTTCATTTTTCTAATGGAAGTGAAGCACATGAAACAAGGCATTGTTGTTAATCATCGCAGCTCATCAACTCCTGCAGTTTCAGCGCCACCGGGATGCGTGTTCGCAATCAGAGCTTCTCTTTTTTAGTTGATCATTTCTGCTCATAAACAGAGAAGAACTGATGCATTTGTCCAGACATGTTTCCGTCTTGTAGCCACAAAATCCTCTGTGTTTTGAACAGTTTGTTACTGTAAAGCCGAGTTCACACTGCACGGTTTTAGCCCCGATTTGGCTCGCCGACAGGTTTTGAGAAATCGCCGACAAATGCCCGAAATCACAGGCAAATCTGTGCTCGTTCACGCGAGTGACAATCACGCAGTGTGAATGAGCAAAGACGCGATCTGAGAGAATCGCCGACGCCCGTGAGATATTTGGCATGCTAAATATCTGGACCTGTCGGCGATTCACAATCCTGCTGTGTGAATGTGTTCTGACTGAAAACTACATCGGCGATGACCGACAGCCAATGAGAGAGCGAGATACAGGACAGCGGGATGTTCGGGGAGGATTTATAGACCAGAATATCAGTATTTTAATAGATATATTTACAATTATATCAAACAGAAACAAAGTAGCCTAGACATTTGCTTGACCAGCAGCAACAGCAGCACATTGCTTCTTTTCTCCTTTTCGCTGCAAATCAGCGCACAGACAATTGGGATCGCAAGCTTCTTGCAGGCTATCATTTTTAATAACAATTTGAGTCTCGCGCAAGAACTCCGGTCTCACGTACACGTGATCTTGCGTTATTTCCTCATCACTTCTCGCGTTTGTTTGGTTGTGAAACGTAGTTTGCGGAACAGACAGAAGTTGTCGGCGACTCTTTCTTTTGTAAAGTCATGCAGTGTGAAACCTCCTGTCGCCGAGCCATCGTTCAGTGTGAACACATCAGCAACTGAGTTACCCCAGATAGTCATGCAGTGTGAAAACAACAGTGACCCGACTACTTTAAAAATCACGCGGTGTGAACTCGGCTTTAGTGTCCCCAATGTATTTGCTGGTGCCGAACCCTTTTGCATCACCATTAATGAAAAGTTTGATTTTCACTTTTTAACGCTTTGGCCTAGAAACATAAATCTCTTTGAAACATCACTCAGCAATATGATCGTCATATTGAGATGTTGAAGTGTTTCTTTTAACTATGCTTCTTACAAATCTTCTCCAGTTTTGACCTAAATTAGAAGTACCGTCACACAGAAATGACCATATAAACTTTTGACCACTGTTCCTCCAAATTCACTCCTATAAGGACAGCTAAAGCAGAGAACAGTCTATCCTAATGAAACTTGGGAGGCGTTACTGGTCTGATCTAGGGATGTAGACATATATTTTATATCATGATATGGCTTAGTATGATTATCACATTTCGAAGGCTGCGAATAAATGAAACATATGCAGGTTTCAGAGTGAAGAGCGGCACTGGGTCCATTTACACGTGAGCTTCAGCTTAATGATAGTTAACTAAAACCATACAAGAACATTTGTGTTTCTTATATTTCAGCCATTTTTCAAGGAAATGGCTAAAATAATTAAAAATATAAAACCGTTTACAAAAATTATATAGAGATTTTAAAAAAAAAGTTAAAAAAAAAGACAAAAACACAATTCACTTTAAACTTTTAAAATATGAATAGAAATATAGTGGGATCTTACTGATGCTAAAACAGCACAGGTGTGCACATGAATGTTCATGTTATGGTTGCTGAAGGTTTGAGTTGGTCAGGAATCCTCACTCTGTCTCTTGTGTTTTTACAGGTACATGATGTTAATAGATGGAAAAAACGAAGTCTTTATGATTGACAGAGACAACTCGGTCTTTCACATAGCCAACCTGGAGTTTCCTTTCCGGAAGGATCTTCGCATCCACCTTTCCAACACGCTTTTGGATGGGGTGAGTTATTGCATGGTTTGAAAGCCTGATAATCGGGTTAGGAAGAGAGGATCTACTCTATTCCTGTACTTAATGGATGCCTACAGGTTTGGAAACATGAGAGGGGCAAAAATAAGCCAGTGTTTTGAGTTAATTCTTTAATTCTTAAAGAGGACTTGCTCTCAAAGCATTTATTAGCTCACTCAAAACATCATGCACAGCACTGGAGAAATAGCAAGGGTGGGTTTCACATATTAAAGGTTCAATTAAGCCAAGTCTTGATCCAGGTTTGACTTTTAATTTGTTGCAAGTTGTTTTGCAGCACTTAAAGGGATATTTCCCCTCAAAAATAAAAATTACCCCATGATTTATTCACCCTCAAGCCATCCTATGTGTATATGAATTTCTTATTTCAGACGAATACAATCGGAGATATATTAAAAAATATCCTGGCTCTTTTTAAGCTTTATCATGGTAGTTCAAGGCGGTCCTGATTTTGAAGTCCAAAAAAGTGCATCCATCCATCATAAAAGTAATCCATACGACTCCAATGGGTTAAAGGCCTTTCCGAAGCGAAGCGTTTGAGTAAGAAAAATATCCATATTTGAAACGTTATCAACTAAAATAACTAGCTCCCGACAAACGGCCGTACGCAGCGATTTATGGCGGAAGAGTGACCTCTGACCCGACGCATGACCTTTGACCCGACACATGTCCAGAACACATGACCTCTGACCCGAAGCATGACCTCTGACCCGACGCATGACCTCTGACCCACGCATGCCTCTGACCCGACGCATTTCCAGAACACATGACCTCTGACCCGACGCATGACCTTTGACCCGACACATGTCCAGAACACATGACCTCTGACCCGACGCATGACCTCTGACCCGACGCATGACCTCTGACCCACGCATGCCTCTGACCCGACGCATGACCTCTGACCCGACACATTTCCAGAACACATGACCTCTGACCCGACGCATGACCTTTGACCTACGCATGACCTCTGACCCGACACATGACCTCTGACCCACGCATGACCTCTGACCCGACGCATGACCTCTGACCCACGCATGACCTCTGACCCGACACATTTCCAGAACACATGACCTCTGACCCGACACATGACCTCTGACCCGACGCATGACCTCTGACCCGACGCATGACCTCTGACCCGACACATGACCTCTGACCCGACACATGACCGACCTCTGACCCGACACATGACCTCTGACCCGACACATGACCGACCTCTGACCGGACACATGACCTCTGACCCGACACATGACCGACCTCTGACCCGACACATGACCTCTGACCCGACACATGACCGACCTCTGACCCGACACATGACCTCTGACCCAACACATGACCGACCTCTGACCCGACACATGACCTCTGACCCGACACATGACCGACCTCTGACCCGACACATGACCTCTGACCCGACACATGACCGACCTCTGACCCGACACATGACCTCTGACCCGACACATGACCGACCTCTGACCCGACACATGACCTCTGACCCGACACATGACCTCTGACCCGACGCATGACGTAATGACGAACACGGAAGCGCAGAGGATGGAGCAAAACAAAACACCGGTCACGAATTCGAAGTATAAAACGAGAATATTTAAAGAGAAAAATCCGAGGATTTCAATAAGAGAAGAGGATCTTGAGTTTGTTGCCCAGCCCTGTTTGTTTAAAGAGGCGTCAAAGCTTACGCTACTCCTACATCCTACATCACATCAGGGGTTACTCTTCGAATTGCGTAGGCCGTCTGCCGGAAGCTAGTTATTTTAGTCTATGAAGTTTTAAATATGGCAAAAAAAAAAAAAGGTATTTTTTATGTCAATTACGCTCAGAAACTTTATTTGAAATGAACAAGGAGCAATGAATAAATACTGATTTAAAAAATACAAAAACATAAGAAATGACATTTATTTATTATGACTAATATTATTTGACACGCACAACAATGCACACAATGGCACACTGTTTAGATCGGTTTCGTCTTGAAGAGGCGCAAGTCATTTATTAACATAATGTTCTCTCTCTTAAAAGGTAAGCAGGTGTAAATGTCAGCATTATCATAGATGTCCAAAGGATTGAAGTCTGTCAGGTAAACCAAGAGCGTATCGATGCAGTTCAGGCTCTCTCAGATTTTATTCCAACCGTTACTCCTGATTGGAGGCTTCCCTAAATATTTACTTTAAACTTAGTTGAACGTGTAATGGTGCAACTCAAAAACATTTAGTAGTGCGTCAGTTGTAACTTAGTCCCCCTTTACATGGCAACCTAAGGCACTCATTACTAAAGATTTTAAGAACTATGTAAAACTCCATAGTAACTATCTGTGACAACTACCAACCACCTAGCAACACCATAGCGACCATCAAATATAGCATAGCAACCGCCCTGAACACCCTTGCAACCACCTAGAAACGCACTAGCAACCACCCAAAACACCTTAGCAACTGCCTAGTAACCACCCAGAACACACTAGCAACCACCCACAATACCTTAGCAACTGCCTAGCAACCACCCACAATACCTTAGCTACTGCCTACCAACACCATAGCAACAACCCTTTACATGGCAACTAAGCTAAGTTGTAACTTACGCACAGCTGGTGCAACCGGCCCTAACCATCCTACCCATGTGTTACCCTTAAAATCTGAGGGAAATGATGTGATATCACTGATGTAGAAGCACATAACCCCGACCTTGACATAAACTGTAAACGTGTCCCTCAAATCTGATTGGTTGCTGTGAATGTTGATCCAGGAACATGTTGCACTTGGTGAGATCATGCTCTGCTCGTCCTGCTTGTGTCTAGTGTACCGCTCATCTCCTCGTCTCGTTCCCGCAATCCATGTCTCCATGAGATGAGTCCATAATCCAGCTTTTTAATGCTTTATGTGCTTTTTTTATTCATTGTGAATATATGTATCGTATCTCAGAGGCCTGACACCACGCCTGCTTTACTCCGTCTGTCACGATTCATTTTAGTCTCCTATTATTTTTCTTATCTAAACCTCAACAGCAGGAAGTTCAAGGTAATCCTGTAAAACTAAAGTTATGGAACAACAGGATTTAGTTAATTGAAGTTTAATTAATTTTAAGTTGATTAGGTAAAAAAAAAACAAGATTACAATGAGGGTTTCATGTAAACCTGCTTTTAATTATTAGATAAATCACGATTTAATCTATGTTTAAGATCAGCCCTTTTTGGGTGCTAAGATTATTACAGCCGTGTATACATGCCAAGACAGCGATTTAAACATAAATGACTTTAAATGTTGAAGGTCCAGAGGTGTGAGGTCTGTGAACACGAGTGAAACATGTTTTGGCGAGCTATTGTGTAGAAATGAATGTCTCTTCGATGCATCATGTGCTCAAATAACTCTTAACAGCGATTTCACAAACGTGATGTGGAAAACAAGGAAACGGAGAATGGCTTGTTCACACCAAGACTGACAGGAGTATCTGATAGACTGAATAAATAAGGAATTGATGCTGGTACAGTGCATTCCTCTAATGAATCCCCAGACAGCTTCATCCGCTCTTCTGTTTGCCTGAAACTTCCCTCTCGCTTCACCATTACAGCTGTGTGTCTGGACATGAAGAGATCCCATGCTCCAGACTATGTGTCCAGTGCAGTCTAGACTGGTTATCTTTCATAAAAGTGTTTTCCACCAGTATGAAGGTCACTGGTCAACTTTGCCTTTGACTGTTTTCCATTATTTATTCATGATTACTCTCTGAAGCACTAATCATAACTTTGCTTTGTTTAACATTTTTAAAAATCCTAAATCTTTTGTTCGCATGGTTTAATAAAAATAAAAAAACAAAAAACACGACTGATCTCAGACATTTGGACCCCACATATTAACCAATACTTTGAGCTTTCAAGCTAAATATCTTCATTTTGAGAGTTTATTCAAAATCACATCGTTACATCATGTTGATAATTATTGGCTGGATTTATGGGGAGTATATGTGCATGTCTCATCGTCTTCATCTTTCTTTTGCAGGAGATGATAATCGACAAAGTGAACGGCCAGCCCGTCCCACGCTATCTCATCTACGACATCATTAAATTTACCGTGAGTGCCTTTCAACAACAATAACACAAGCACTGTCCTGTTTGTTCTTGATTCAAGTCATGATTACTGTTGGCAGTAGACCTAATGCAGAATGACAATGAGCAAGAACAGAGGTGTCTCACCCAGCCATTAAACTTGGCATTGTTTACTATCCATCATGCTTTTCCAGACCTGTGTGCAACACAAAAGCTTTCGTGTAAGATACTAACAGCTCCAAAAAGGACAAAAACCACCCAAAAATATCAAAGTATCATAAAAGTAGTTAATACGGCTGCTTTATTTCTTCTTCGTTGCAGCTCTCACATTTAATCAGCAAGTAGATTACATTCAAAAACGGCACCTTTCGACACGGCATATGGAGGACCAGCTCTACCATATTTAAAAATAAATACAGAAATGAATAAATGCTCAATAAATAAATAAGCATACAATTAATTGCCCCAAAAAAACAAAGAAATGTAGGTAGAAATTAAATTATACAGTGAGACATAAATGTATATATCTCTTTTAATTAGCTTCTATATTTATTCATCTTTGTAATAATTACCTTATTTATTTATTGTCCGTTATAATCTTCAACTTTATTTATTAATTACTTATTTTATAAGTATTTATTTATGTGCATGTTATAATATTTTTGTGTGTTTTATTCTTCCTTTGTATTTTTTTACCCTATTTATTTCTTCAATGCTATTTATTTCTGCCTGTCGTTTTTACATTTCTGTATGCATTTCTGCCTCGTTATGCAAATGAGGAGGGGCTGTCTTAGGGGGTCAACTTCTGCCCATTGGTTGGTTAGCATTTTACTGCATCGGACGAATCTACATGGCTTTTCCCCGCCATAAAGCATTGTTTAGTGGCAGTAATGCAACTCATTGGATGCCAGCTGCCGTAAAAATCCAAAGAAGAAGAAGCAGCATTGTTTAGTAATGTCAAACTCAGCAGGCAGACGTTCAGTGTCCGACCTCTTAAGGGAAGCTGCTAATAGACTGGAAGAATTAGAACGCTGTAAGTTTGAGATCTGAAATGTTTTTCTGTGGTCCTTTGAACATTTTTTTAACTTTTACTTTACTTTTACATAAACAGCTTCCAGTTCGAGTATTAGTGGTGTGGAACCTGTGGCCGGTGGCATGTAGATTCGACCGATGCAGTAAAATGCTAACCAACCAATGGGCAGAAGTTGACCCCCTAAGACAGCCCCTCCTCATTTGCATAATGAGGCAGAAATGCATACAGAAAATGTAAAAACGACAGGCAGAAATAAATAGCATTGAAGAAATAAATAGGGTAAAAAAAATACAAAGGAAGAATAAAACAGACAAAAATATTAGAACATGCACATAAATAAATAAGGTAATTATTACAAAGGTGAATAAATAAAGAAGCTAATTAAGAGATATATACATTTATGTCTCACTGTATAATTTAATTTCTACCTACATTTATTTGTTTATTGTATTTTTTGGGGCAATTAATTGTATGCTTATTTATTTATTGAGCATTTATTTATTTCTGTATTTATTTTTAAATATGGTAGAGCTGGTCCTCCATACGGCAGGCTTGAATATTGATGATCTTCCCCTGTATATTCTTCCTCTCAGCCAAATGATGCTTGTATGGCTTCAGAATACTTGTAATATAGCACGTAAATCAAGTGGACCGCATAAATATTCTTCAAAACTTCTATTTGTGTTTATGCTCTGAAGAAAGGAAGTCACATAGGTCATGAAACGCCACATGCAGCCAATTTTACTTCTAGAATGTGACATTTCTTCACGAAGTGGAGTATTAATAAAACAAAACTGCTTGGTGACATCAAGCGCATAGGAAATCAATTGAAGTAAGTTCGATTTGTAGAGCACTTTCCACAACATGCATTGTTTCAGAGGAGCTTTAAGGTAAGGTGGGTTTTCTGCGAATGTTTTCTCTGTAAATCGAAGCTGTCTAGAGTTGGGGAGATTTATCCTTTGTGAAATAGCATGCAGTGCCAAATCATTCACAGTAAGACCAGGAACGTGTATTAGGACAGAAAATAGAGTCTTCATATTGACTGGATGATGTCTATAAATTGTGTAGTTCAGTTCATTTTAGGTTAGAATTCACATTCATCTTAGTTTGGGCAGGGAATGAGTAAATCTTAGCATGTTCTCGCATCATTTTCTGCAGTACGCATTCAGTAAATCCAGGCAATCGCTGTGCGTTTGAGACCGGGCGCGTGGATTCGTCTTGCTTGGTTACCGTGCCGAAAAGAACATTTTTTCCAAAAATGCAACGCTGATCCTTCATTTTTAAGATTGATGCCACAGGCAACCCGTGGGTAAATATAGACGGCACATTAATCGAGCCTGTCCAGTGATGCTTGGGAAGACTAATATTCAACACAGTTATAGTGCTCATGTATGCATTAAGCACGTGTCATCAACTTTATTTATTAGGTTTTTATTTCAAATATGAGTACATTAAAGACTAATGCTAATATGTCTCTTAAAATATGTATTTTCCGAGCACTGCTGGAGTTCTCATTCACAAGCAGCGTGCAGGAGGATCTCGAGTGTGTTGCGTTCAGCTGCTCTCTGCATTGGTCGAGTGTGTTGTGGTTGGGTTATTAAACTAGAAGTGCTCATACTCTCCTGCAACAGAGACTGTGGAATTCTGGCTTTTTGAGTTTCAAATATTAAAAATAGTTGATGGTTAAATGTCCATAAAATTATTTATATACACAACTTCAAACTTTTGGGGTTGGTAAGATTTTTTAAATGTTTTTTATTGTTCACCCTAATAAAACAAGTCAAAGGTGACAGTGTACTTTGTCTTTTCAGTTATGAAATGTATGTGCTGAATCAGATTTATATTGTTTTAGGAAGATACGTAAATTTGCTAATTACAGAAATTTAAAAGCATACAACTTGGAAGCTAGATGGTGCAATGTTTTTATTTATTTTTTTATTTGCACTGTGGGGTTATTTTAGAAATAGTCTTCTTCACAATAGCACACGTTTGACGGTATCAGAGACCGTATGTAACCGGTGAGCTCTCAGGTTATGATGTTGTATCCTCCTTCACCCTCTCATAACATTAGACACATTTTACGGTTGCTGCTGTCTGTCTTGTCAGTCGTGTTGTATTATGAACGAGTGTGCTGGCAGCTTTTTTCATTGTAATCGTGAGTGAAAGTTTTCTAGCATCACAGTGCGCAGCTGGCTTGCAGTTCAGACACAGTTTGACTGCATTTGCATGTCAAAATAACATTTATTTAGCAATTCATGTTCAGAAATATGCGAGAATGTGCTTCTTTAAACACAAAATATCAGAATATTTTGCTGTATCGACCCTCCCAACAGTAAAAACAGTAATATGTTAAAATTTTGCTGTACTGACATGTAGCAAATTGATATCAACTTTGAGCCTGAGTTATACAAAAACGATTTGAGATATCAAAATGATTTTGTCAACATGGTCTGGTGATGATCCATGTCAGAATTGGTGAAGATCGAAGAAACCGTCTAGGAGTTGTTAGAAAAGGTAGTTTTTGGATACAACCCAAAATGGCGGACAGACAAAATGGCCGACCGTTGAAAAACATATACCATTGTATTCTGTAGGACCCAAGGAATAGAAAGACATGAGATTTATGGACGAAATTCAAAAAAGTAAATGTGTTACAATTTTTCGACCACTAAATTGTGGCAGCTCTAATAGAGGTAGCTTCAAGGGCTGGTGGCAAAGACACACATCACGTTTATTAATAATACACCAAAGCATTTGTAAAATACAGCATTTTACTATACAATTCAAAATGGCAGACTCCATTACTACAGAAAACAGAAGCCAAACTACAGCCAACATGGCTGTAAAACAAATGACCCGTGGTAGAGTAAAACCAAGCGGCAACCGGTCTCTCTCTTGAATCCAACACAGAAGTGACTTAAACTGCAGTTCATCGACTGGCCACTAGAGACAGGCTGCAAAACAGACTCAATCCCATAAATCCCCATGTTAAAATGCCCAACTTTACAGCAGAAAAAAACATTTTTTACAGCCTGGTACAAAAAGTGGTTTTGGTCTATAAAGCTAATTTTGCCCTTCATAAAACTGTGATGGGGTGATTTTTTTTTTATAACTTATCCGTTTAAATTATATGAAGCCTTAAAGTTGTGCATAATTAAGGGCGTGGTCACTTGAGTGACAGGTGGACTGCGTCTGCTTCACTACTAGCCTTTTGTCTGCGGTCTGTTAGCGTCACGTCACCTCAGCTAATCCGCCTCGCTGCCCATTTACGGTTATCCGGGAGTGACGCGCTGCCAAGATGGCGACGGCCGGCTCCGCCCACTTTGGGCTTCAAAAATGCTCAAAAAACCTACGGGTGACGTCACGAACACTACGTCCATTTTTTTTACAGTCTATGGGTAAAACCAATAACAAAAACTGACAAAACACATGAGGGAAAAATGGGTAAAAGATTCCAAAGACTAGACTAGACCAGACCAACCGGCAACGGGAAGCATGAGTAGGGAAACCAAATGAACCAGCACAGAAAACAAAAGTACATAGAAAAGGATATGAGGAGAGTAACAACGGTGGACAGAAGTGGCAAATTAACTAATAATCAAGTCACAAGCAGACCGGGTCATTAAACAATAGACAGCAGAGCACATGGTACATAGAAACAAACAAAACAAACATGACACGAGAACACAGCCAATGAGAGCTCTCACCGACTGCGTGTCCACACAAAACATGACAACGATGAAAAACAAGAGCCGACCAGTGAACACAGAAAACACTCAACCTGTGCGCTCCCAACTAAAGATAAACCATGGAGCATGAGTGTCCAAACCCCGACACTGAACCGGAAGCGAACTAGACAACGTGGTGGCTTTGGCAAGGTCAAGCTCCACTAAATTTCACTTGTAAAATATAACCATATCATTGCATAATAGCGCTTTTAAAGAGAATATCCCCTGTAGTGTGAAGAGTTAAGCTTGTCCTCTTGGCCGTGT